ACTCCAGGCTCTAGGCGTGGAACTCAGCAAATGAGTTTGCTCATAGAATGTGGAAAATGGAGATATGAGAGACATCCAAATGCGTATCGATCCAAACTTTCTAACCTTTGCTGTTTCGATTTTACTTTCTTAGTAGTGATATGCAGTTTGTTTAGAATACATTTAGTTCTATCGTCAACCTCCCTCTTTCAAAATAGATCAGTACTGCTTCAGGTACTCATTATTGAGGATAATTGCTGCTTCTGCAATACAGCGGCTTTCACGTTGGCCACGGAAAATAAGAACGTTGATCTGTTCTTTGTTTCTTTCCGCAATGGGCTCTATGAGGTAATCTAACATCCTTATGCACTTTGTCATCCACTAAATGCGTTTTCGAAGTCAGCGCTGTTGGCCTCCACGGCGTTCAATTTAATGCTTTGAGTGCTCCTTAGAAATGGTCGATTAAGAATGAAGGGGGTTCATCATGCACAGATTCCTAGAGATTCCCAAGAAGGTCCCTTCGTGAAGGGAACCTTCGCAAAACTAGGATTGAGTAAAGTGTTTCACATAGCTCCTTTCTGTACGCTTATCATTTCGCTTTTATACTTCGCGACTCGAGGGATTGAGATGCGCTGGTGTGGCTTATCGCGCTCCACCTCCAATCATTTGTCCGCTGAAAATTTGAAATGCGGTTTATACTGACTAAGATTGAATTAGCAGTTGCAGCGGTCAATTATTAGCGGTGGAGCGCAGTCAGTAGCCACTATTGAATGACTCGTGTCGCGGAGTATGATCATAACCTCATCTGCCGGCATGAATAATAGTCATTTTTAATCCTTTTGGTTGTTAGTTGCTTGCTACTTAATTGCTGTATGTATCAGTTCTTATTTTAGGTTCCGTTTGTGGTACTTGCTGATCATGAGACTCGCAGCATTGTCATTACAATTCGTGGATCTTGCTCGTTAGTGGATCTTGTCACCGATCTTTGCCTAGGTTTGTGTGGTTTCTTTGCTTCAAAAGATTAAGGGTAAATGCTTTATGGCGTGACGTGAGCGGCAAGTGTTTGACGCCAGTGTACTTCGTGTGTCCCTCAGTTGCTTTCTAAGCCGAGCATATGGCATCACTTTGCCACCCCTAGACTGTTACTTGGATTTTTTGAAACTTCTCCTTCATATTGTTTTGTCATATTGCCCTTTTGGCATTGCTATTTTTGCCATTTTTTTCGATTTTCCAAACTCTAGTGGTGCATCTCAGATGACGAAGTGCTGTCAGTCAATGT